CCCCAAAACCCCAAAACCCCAAAACCCCGTCAGGATATATAAAACTATTATAGATAAATTGCTATAATCATAATAAATTAAAATAATTGAATGGATTAATAAATGCTTTCAATGAAACTAATAGAGTTGGAATATTAATGGAAATAAATTTTTGAAGTTAAGATTATGGTTTAACACTTTATGAGATTTAAATGTTTTTATAAGTTAATTTATATAGATATAACAATACAGTACTGTTTGATGCTATAAGAAGTTAATGATCAGTTAGTTAACACTTAGAGAATATGGCCGAAGTTTTATCCTGATGTCTTAAAATCCTTTGAATTCCAAGAAGAAATGCCTGACTTCGCATCTTTATACACACCTATGGCATGGAATATCATGTTCTTTGAAATCTTAGCAGCCATTACAGCTGGGTTGGCGAACTTCTTGATCCAAGCTGTGACTGATGCTAAATTTCCACTAATTGCTTTACAGGTAGAGAATTCAGATGGAATTTACTTGATTGCATCATATAAATGTTTACAGCCAGTGGTGACTCCTGAAATACTCATTGATGAGAAATCGTGAATTGCATTGTCGAACTACGTGAAGAGATCAGCAGCACCACTTTGGCATTATTCAATAGCGCTAAAATCTGTGTTAAAAAGTCCATCGAAAAGTCCTTCAATAAATTGAAGTCCTGCGAGAGGTACTCCGCTTATGCTGTTATAGTGAGCATGAAAAGTGTCAGCAAATCCTTAGACTTTAGGAGCTAATGGGTGATAAATATTAACTCTTGCATCCAATTAGATAGGGTAATCGAGATAGTATTATTTTTTGTTACCAAATCCTTAATTAGCTGCATTAGCAATTGAGGCAGTTCCAACTATGAGAGTGATTACTTTTAGCATTTAGAAATATAATTATATCCTTAATCATAATAATGAGTTTATATAGAGATATTTTAAGCAATAATATTTTATATATCTATTAAAAATTGAATTATTATTATTGATATATCTATCCTATTATAATTTATATATCTTGATGGGGTTTTGGGGTTTTGGGGG